TGTCTGTCTGACTGACTGTCTGTCTGACTGTCTGTCTGTCTGTCTGCTCGCCAGCCCGCCTGCTTAATACGCCCACCACAACCCTCCTTTAGCCTTTTCCGCACCGCGTTCGTGGGTACTTAACTCGATTGCGCAATGCACGTGTGTGTGTGCTCTCCTCTCATTGCCCGCGCGTGTTTCCGTATGTGCACTTGTGTGTGTGTGTGTGTGTGTGTGTGTGTGTGTGTGTGTGTGTGTGTGTGTGTGTGTGTGTGTGTGTGTAGGCGGTGGTACGAGTACTTGTTAAAGGCCCGTGAACGCCGCGGCAGGTACCGCTGATACTCTGCAAAACTTAGTTGTTTCATTTTTTTTTCTTTTTTTTTTTAAGTTGCATCAGTGGCGTTGCGACGCGTTGTGATTGTGACGGTTCGGTCCGATTGCTCCGTATCGGCGTGGAATCTCCGAGGCCAGTGGCCGAACCGCTGGAGGGCGCCACCGGCGGGGTCGCTCCGTCTCTCTCGCACCCGCGGGGCTGTCTCGGCTGTCCGCGGGGGTGCGAGAGAGACGGAGCGACTGCCGCGGGAGCACGACTCGCGCTCAAATCTCGATTCGCAGAGGCGGCGAAAAGTGCAACCGCAGTAAATTCACACCTCGTGCTCCGAGCCGGACCGACCCGTGGCGAGAACGGCCTCTTGTAGTGTGGTCACCGCGGGAGTGGAAGGGGAATTCCCGACCGAGCGCGGTCAAAGCGGCCGCCCCGTTTTGGCACCCTCAACAGGACTTCCACGTCTTTTCCCCCACACCGTTTACCGAGCCGCAGTAATTCGATCGAGATTAACGCTCCAGCCCCGGTAGCAGGCATCACACTAAACGGGCGTACCGCGGCGCGTCGGTCCTTTTGGTCGTCCTAAAGGGCGGCCGGCGGCCAAGCGGCCTAAGTGTTTTGGGGGAAAGGCATTAGTTTTCAATCGAGCGTCGTAATCACGGCTTGACCACGGATCGTGCCGCTTACGGTGGAGCGTCTTGTCCGGCCTGGCGCGGCCTGGTTGCGTGTTAATTGTAGCCGATCGTGCCCACCGGGACGGAGCCTGGAGCGCGCTGGAGCGGCCCGGAGGGGGCGGGGCGAGAGGACCGCCCTCACCAAGCCACGCCGCGCTTACGTATGCGTCCGGGAAGAATCAATGGAATGCCGGGACCGCTTCCGTGTCAGTGTACGCCACATGTCAATCACAGCGGCGACTTTCTAAATGCGGCATTATTATCGCATTTACACGCGAAGGAGGGCCTTTCCTTGTCTCCCATCCAGCCAAGATGGCGGCCTCTTCCGCCGCCGCTCCGTTGTAATGTGATAATTTGGACGGTTTGTACGCATAGGTGGTCGGCAGACACGTACCGGCCGGATTCCTCCCAGCTTCGGGTCACGAAAGTCCCTCTAGCCGAACGGGCTGGGACACCAGCTGCTTCACACGAGAGGCGTCGGTTCGACTCCCAGTGTCGGCACACTGAACGTCTCACTTTCTTCTCTTGTTCTTTTTCTTCTTCGGGGGCAAAGTAGGCGGCACCTTTTAAAAAAAAAAAAAACGTCCCAGAGCGATAAGTTACCCGAAGGGCTAATAGAGTTCACAGAGGTCAGTCGGGTTCCTTTCCAGCCCCTCCCCTCCACCATCTCTCTCTCTCTCTCTCTCTCTCTCTCTCTCTCTCTCTCTCTCTCTCTCTCTCTCTCTCTCTCTCTGAAGAGAGTGAATCGGCGGGTACCGTTTTACGTGCTACGCGCACTCACACCACGACAATTACCAGCGCTCGTTGACGCCCCCAGGCTCTCACGAACACACACACACACACACATACATACACACACACACACACACACACACACAAGCGAGACTTATGTCACGCGGCCTGTGTGTGCGTGTGGTCCTTCGTGGGTCCGTAGCACCGTCAAAGGCACGAAAAAGGGGGCGGTGTTCATACCTTTACAGGCTTCATTGAATCCCGCAGCCTCTAATTTTGTAACGGGCATGTAGTTTTTTTTCTTTTTTCTTTCTTTTTTTGGTGGGACGTCACTATATTCCGAGCCACCTCGACTGCCGCCCCTGGTCCACGTATGGTCGTCGACGACACCAGCAGGCAACAGTCATCGACATGAAAGTCCCTGGTCCCTCACTCGTTTTTCCATAATAATTTAATTTTTGAAGTTTTTTTTTCTGCGAAGTTTTGTGATGCCAGGGTGTGATGCCAGCATGGCCGTGGGGAAGTTGGCTCTAGCGTCTCAGGAAGTGGAATCCGTAGCCTCCAAAACTTGATGCCGGGCCGGGCCGGGTCGCTTGATTGTCCTGATAACGATTATTGATTACACCCGCGCACCTCGGCGTGTGTGTCTGTGTGTGTAGTGCTAGTTTGAGTTTTTTTCCCTTTGTCATGAATGTGTGTGCGTGTGCGTATGTGTGTGTGAGGAGATCACGTCGCTTTATTTACTTGGGAATAATTCCTTCCCGGTGCGTGCTTTTTAGTGTGTGTGTGTGTGTGTGTGTGTGTGTGTGGCCGCCAATAATGTTGTCGGTAGTAACTAGCCCCTTTGCCCTGACAGCGTGGGCCCCCTTGCCGTGCCTCCGTGCGTCCGTCTCTCTCTCTCTCTCTCTCTCTCTCTCTCTCTCTCTCTCTCTCTCTCTCTCTCTCTCTCTCTCTCTCCTCTGCCGCTCTGATTGATAACTGACGGGATGGGCCGCGATATGATTCAATACGCCGGCGTGGCTCCACTGCGAGGCGCGGCGAGGCGCGGGGCGTGTCAAGGCGCCTCCAGCAATTAGTCACTGGAGCCCGCAGGCTGGAGGCTGGAGGCTCCAGCAGCGCCGCCCCAGCCGTGATTGAGACGAATAGGGCCGTGTCGGTCCGTCTCCCTCGCACTCGTGGGGTGGCTCGCATGGACGAGGGAGAGAGAGTCAGCGTGCCGGGCCGGACTCGGGCCGGACCTTCGCGGCGCCCTGGACAAGAAGAAGGATAGCGATCCGTTGTATCGCCGGTGAGCGAAGTTTGATGCGCCGAAGACGAGGCACGCGCCACGCAGCAAAGCAGCGAACCCGGATCCGTTTCCGTCTCCGATTCGGCCCTTCCAGTGTGGACTGCACTTATTTGGCATCGGGAAACACGAGGTGTGCGGTGCCCCGAGTGGAGCCCTGTCCACGGCTCGTGCGCTCGGCGTGGTTCGGGCCAAAGCCGAAGCCAGCGTCGCAGACCCGAAGGCGCCACTCGGCTAATCGTGCACTCGTTGCGAAACCGCCGGCGCGGTCCTGGTGGGTCCTGCTGGCCGTCCGGACGCCTGACGGGGCCAGAGTAGGCAACCCGCCGAACCCAGGCACTGGGCGGGCGGCCTACCTCGGGCTTCACAGGCGTCCGACGGACGCTCTACGACGGTTTTGGCCCGTTCGGGGAAAGTCCATGCACGAACCGTAACGACGGTCTGCGTGGAAGCGGCGCGCCCTCGCGAGCGCGCACACTACACACACACACTCAGACACAAAAGTAAATAAACAGAACGAGCGCGAAAAAATATTCAACGACAGGTTGGGCAACGCAACACAGTTGCGGCACAGACGGTGGCGTGCGCTATGGCTCGCGGCACGCGCGTGCGCGCACGCGAGCTCACGCACACACACACACACACACACCTTTACGACCGCCGGCCGCGTAGGCATTATGTGTACCCGGGATGTCACTGCGTGAAAATGAAAGTAGTTTTATCTTTGTATTTCTTTACCCTTTTTCGAACACCTTTAAATAAACCCACTGCGGCGTGCAGTTGCAAATGAGTGAGTGGGGTGAGTGTGAATGTGTGTGCGTGCGAGAGAGATAGAGAGAAGGCGGAGCGATAGTGTGCGAGTGTGCCCCACTACCCTAGCGTACGGCGGTGCAAGACCGATAATTTGCGTTAATGGTGCGACGCAGGGGGGCATGCATAAATTACTAAAATGAAGCTCCGACAGCCTTGGGAACGTGGCCCCCCTCCCCCGCCCCCTCCCAGTTGGAGGGGAGGCATCGCCATACCACTTTAAAGCGAACGGCTTGCTGCCGCGCTACCCCGCCTGCTGCCGAACAATTAACATGGAGGAATGCGCACTCGTTTTCGCATCGTTTGTTTGCTTCTATTCTTCGCGTGGTTTTTGAGATGCGAATAAAAAAAGTCAATACATCCCTTTTGTGTGTGCGCATGGTGGTTTGTTTTTTCGAAATTTTCTTAAGTTGCTTGCCCATACTCTTCAACCAAAAATTTAAAAAGATATAGACGGCGCACAACTTTTTTTTGTGGCCTAGAATGCTGTCCCCAGAGACACGAGCGCCGTGCCTCGGCCGGCTGGCCCGGCCGATATCGATTGTATTCCGGACACGTGCAATTAAGTGGCCGCTGGGGCCGCGAGGGCCGCGAGGAACCGAGCCACCGCACAGTGGGCCAGAAGACCGGCGCCGGCGGCCAAAACTCTAGACGCGTTTTGAGCTCCAGAGTCGCTGAACAGGACTCAAACCGAACGTGTGACCCCACCAATGGATTCCTCGGTCGGAGAGCAATCCATTGGTGGGGTCACACGTTCGGTTCGAGTCCCACTTAGCGACTCTGGAGTTCAAAACACGTCCGGGATTTTGACCACCCTACCGGTCTTCTGGCCCACTGTGCGGCGCGCATGTGGGACGACGGACACAACGCGTTGCAACGCCGGCCGACAGATACTTTTCCTCCGCGTCATATTTCATACGGGCAGGTGAACGAGTTCCTAATGCGCGGTCTCGCACACCACAGTTTCGTACCCCCCCCCCCCACACACACACACAGGCGCGCCTGGACGCGTTTCCGCAGCGGCCCAAATCACACACCTGCCGCGACACTTAGTAATGGCTTCTGATTGGGGCACTAATGACTCTGCACAGGGAAAACCCCGGCCGCGTGATGAATTTCTCACCGCGTCGCTGCGCTGTGCTTCACTGCTTCGCCCTGTGCGGTTAGCCTGACTGGCTTTGTTCGTTTGTTGCAGAGGTCAAGTGCGGCCACCCCGCCGTGCCGGTCAACGCCAGGGTGTCGCTCTCCAGCGAAGGCCTGGGCCCCAACACCGTGGCAACCTACACCTGTGACCCTGGATACGAACTCTTCGGGTAAGTCTCGTCGTTCCAAGCCTGTGTCTTTTCGTTTAGTTTTTGCCTCGTTTTTTTTAGAAAAATAAGGAAATTTAGAGGAGAAAAAAACGATGCAACCAGCAGTATTTGAACCTAGGTATTCAGACTGTGGTTCGGTGCCTATAACCACGCGGCCGAGCAGGTAGCTCGATATGTCTCATGTCTTGTTTCCCTAGCGCTGCCGCCGCGTTACGTCGGGCGAGGCCGACGCCAACTTGTGCAAGTCCGTGAGAAAGCGACGCCTCTGTACGGCAACACTGTCGCCAGCGTCGCCAGGGCACTGCAGTGTCGCGACGCGGGCTCAATGGAGGTGCGCGGTAGCAGGCGTAGCAGGTGCAGAAGGACGATGAAAGCTTTCCCCTGTCTGTCCGTCTGTCTCTCCGTCCGATTGTCCGTCTCGGCCCGCCGCAATGACGGGACGGCACACACGCGTGACTAGCAATAACGACCACGTTCGAACTGGGGCGCCATGCATGCAGGAACTACGCGTCTGTGTCAAGCCAATGGAGCGGCAACGTCCAATACCGTGTCCCCTTCCGCGTGGCGGGGCACCCGCACCGCGAGCCAGCCTCATCTAATTAACTCGTTTCGCCTTTTGAATACTAAACAACTCAAATAAAAATGAGAAAAGAAAAAAAAAGCAAACGGAACACCGTGCAGCCGCCAGCCTTGAATAATGTAAATTTTATCAAAGCCTCCCTAATGATTATTGTTGCACTTTTTTCTGTGTGCTAGAACATAGGCAAGTTAGGTAAACGGCCAGGCCGCTACGAAGTCGATGCGCACACATACTCACACGCACGCATACACACACAAGCGCGCGCTGCCCGTAACTGGGCGTTCTTTGCTCACACGGGCCGGGGAGTCTACGAAAAAAGGGAAGAGTTTGCACTGTGTTAAGGGCGACGGTGCGGCAACCCCTTTTACCCTCACTCCGGGCCCTGTTTGGGTGAGGAGGGGGTGGGGGTAGGCCTCGCACACACACTCTCTCACACACACACACCACACACACACACACAGGGGAGGGCTGGAAATAAAAACTAAATGTGGACGCGTGTGGGGGCGCGCGCCATGTCAGCCGTGTTTTACAGCCTGGCGCCCAAGCGACAACATTCTCATACTCCGCGGCGATGGCCGAGATAGTCGCGGCGGCAACATGCACAGCCTGCTGTTCTTGATAGCTCGAATTATTTTCCGTACAGTCGCTCCTGTGTTTTGTATTTTGACGTCGTTCCCTGGCTGTCTGCCCTCCTGCTGGAAATTCCGCCGCCGCTGCGAGGAAACTGAGCGGAAGAAAGTGGCGATGCGGTGAAATCCCGCTGGAAAGCGGCAGAAAGAAGAGCAGGGCATAAAAAAGTGACAATGCGGGGATGAACGGACGAAAGTGTCCGGAATGCCGTGTGTGTACGAGCGAGCCAGCAGCATGCCATCCGGGCACTTCTGTTTCTTTTTCTTTCACCTGACGAGTGGATCTCGTTGAACTGTGAGGCGCGTTGCGTCATGCGTGTGTGCGTGCTCGTAGAGGGAGTCGCTTAGTTAGTCTATCGCGATGACGTCACCTCGGGGCCCTTCTCGGCCACCGCCCCAAGGACCCTCCCGAGGACCTCTCCGAGGGCCTTCCCATGGACCATCTCGAAGGACCCTCCCACTCGGGACCCTTCCGAAAAGCCCTCCCGCCCGAGGACCAACCATCCCGAAGACCCTCCCGGGAGCCCTCCCGAAGTGCCCGCCGTGGTCTCTCCCGCGGAAAGGAGAGTGAAATGAAGCAGTGCGTGGCAGCGGGCCGATTACAGCGTGCCCGGCCTGCCCGCGGGGTTGCCGCAACGTGAGTGCTCGGATCAGGGCGTCTGGAGGAGTGAGGGGGGCGAGGCGAGTCTGCGGCCCTAATTTCGCATCTATCCGTTTAGCGATCGCGGCGGCGCGGCGGCAGGGCCCGGCCGGCCGCGGCGGGGCTCTACCGGGGCGGAAGCAGACGGAAGCCGGGAGGGGCGGGAACGGAAGGCTGGGGGCAGGGTCTATTACCGATGTCTTGGGGTGGAGCCGAGCCTCGAGCCGAGCGGCGACGGGACGCGGGTTCGACTCCCGCCGGGGTCCACCGTACTTTGGATTTTCTTGGTGTGTGTGTGTGTGTGTGTGTGTGTGTGTGTGTGTGTGTGTTAAAGTCCTTACCACAGCGAGCCCCGTTGAGCCCATATCAATTCGTCCGCGCTTGTTCCCCCTTTCAAACACCGAGTGAAAGGCTTGCCCTGCTCCGGTCCGCGGCGTGTCGCGCTGGCCGGGCCGGCCGGGCTGGCGTCACTAAGAGCGGCTAAGCGCTGCTAAGCGTCGCCCCTTGTCACATCCGTGCCTCGGCGACCCACAAAGCGTGCAGGGCACGGTGCAGGGCAAGGTGCAGGGGGAGGAAGCGGCGGCCGTGACTCCGTGCCGCTCCGTGCCACTCCACGACCAGGAGGCCCACTCGGCTTGGCACAGCGTCTCCGCTGCCCCGGCTAATTGTGTAGTTTGATTGGCGGTAGATTTGAAAGCAGCGTTCCGGCCGCGGACGGCCAAGCACCGTGTAATAGCTCGCTGGCTGGCCGGCCGGCGGTTGCGGTCGTCCGTTTTGGGCTTATTGAATCGGCCGGGCGACAGATTCGACTCGACTCGTGGTGGTGGCGGTGGGGAGCGTGGTTTATACTTACAGGGCCGCCGTCGGGTATCAAACTGTGTCGGTATGCGTGCGTATAGACAAAGGCGAGTCGAATGGCGTTGACAAGAGCTCCCGTTTAGGCTAGGTGGCAGATCTGCGGTGGTTCGTCTTTGAAAAACTTATCCCCTCACCCTCAAAAAATAAGTGAACCTTTTAAAAATATTTTATGAAACAAGAGTACCCTTGGCATTCCTTCTCAAAAATAAGTTGCTGTTTTTAAATTAAGTTACTTGGTACTTTTTTCTAGATTTGTTTTCTCGGCTGTTTGACATTGCGTCTGTTTGTTCCAGCGCGGCGACGACGAGCTGCTCCTCATCGGGCCGATGGCAGGGCGAGCTGCCCTTTTGCGGTGAGTCGGTTGCGCAGCCAGCCAATTAGGCCTCATGGCGCCGGAGAGAGAGAGAAGAAATAGGAAAAAAAAAGGAGTGGCCACCGATTTTTCCGATGAGGCGCCTTTTCTTTTGGGTGATGCACATCGCACAGTGCAGGACCTCTCGGTCGCTACCTCACCAGGCTGTTGCTGGCCGGGCCGTGTGTGGCAGTGTGGTGGCAACTGGCCAGTTGGGTTGTTGAGGTATGCCCTTTCAGGCCACCTACGTATCGCAGCCGACAGGAAGGCGCTTTCGAGCAAAATCAATGCGTTGTAGAAAAAAAAAACATTTTAAAAAATGATGGAGAGTTACTTGGCGGTCGGTGTGGGATCTAGAGCAACCGCACCGAGCGTTAGTGCAAGCTCCTTGTTTTTATTACGAGCCCGGGATTAGACCGGCGATCACATCTCCCGGGTGAAAGTGCCACGATCGAAGTTGCTCGAAAAACAAAACAAAAATTGACTGATTAAATGCTTGTTTTTCCACGCCTTGTGCGCCGATCGTTCTGCAGATAAGCCTCCGCATCGATTTTCCCGTCGATGCCTCGTAACGCATTGTTTGTACTTAGGCCCCTCGTTGCCCCATTTCGCCATTTTGCTTCATTGTGTGTGGAAAACGGCAGCCTCGCGATACGCTGGAAAAGCGACCTTGAAGCCGCTATCCATCTATCTACCTATCCAGCGGCGTCAGCGGCGACAAGCCGGACAACGTGGGAACGCCACGGACCGCTTTACATACAACGCCGCGGCGGTAATGAAACTTTTTTTTGTTTTGTTTCGGCAGGGACAAGTGCCACGTGCACTGCCCGCCAACAGTCGCTCCCATGTATGGGAATTGACATCCTGATAGTGCGCCGCTTGCGCCCGCCCCCGCTTCGTTTTGCAAGGCCAGGATATGTCATACGGCGATCGCGAAATCGATCCGAGGCCCGTGTTGACGATGCCGCCCTGCAGGGCCTGCAGGGCCCGTGGCGCAACGCTCTGTCTCTGTCGAGCGGGACGCGCCGCGAGTGCGAGAGAGACAGAGCAGACAGAGCGTTGTTCGGCCCGCCGTCCTCGTCCATTGTGCTGTGTGCTTTGACGTGGCAGGTGGAGGGCCTCTCCGGGCAGCGCGACTCTCGGTACGTGTGACACAATTGTCAACCGGGGTGCTTCGTGTCTCAAAACGTGGACGCCTGGAACGAGCCTGGAACCCCTGGAACGCGCCTGGAACGCCCCTGGAACCGTTGCATGGCCGCGGTGCCGTGGTTTCGACTGAGTGCACGGTGCAGCCGACCCGATGGCGTGAAGTGGCCGAAGTGGGTCGCTGCCAAATCGAAGTAGTTGCGAAGCCCAGCGACGCCCTGCAAAGCTGATTCACTGGCAAACGATCTGTCTGCCAGTCGCCCTGTTCGCTCGTCCAGGAAACCAGCGAAGCGACCCCTTTCGCAATGCGTCCTTTTTATTGGGACGAAATTCGGTACCGCCGCGCGGGCCTGGTGTCCTGTGGTGTCGCCACCCGGTGTCCTTTTCACAATAATGTCCCTTCCTCTACCAAACCCGAAGAAACCCTCTCCACTCCGGTTTTGGTGCTGTTTTGATAGTTCATTTTCATAAAAAGTTACAACCAAAAAAAAAGTAAAAAAAAGAAGAAGAAATTCTATTCTTTTTCTATTTTTTTAACGTGTAAAAAAATAAAAGTGCGGTGCGTGTGTGGCGGAGGTCGGCGAGTGCGTCCTGCGGCCTTGCAGCTTGCAGCCCTGCCAGCGTGTGAGATTGCGCGCCGCGACGCTGCCTGCCTGCCTGCCTGCCTGCCTGCCCCTTGAGGGACAACAAAAATCGCGTTCATTTTTCCCACCGGCAAATATCACACCGTCGATTCTTCCCTATCCTTCCCTCTCCGCCACCAGCAGCACGCACTCGGCCGCCTCGTCAGCGCCGCCACGTCCCGGTGCTGGCGCCAAGTCAAGAAACGGCCACACGAGAAATGAAATAGGCTGCCAAAGGTTATAGGTCGGCCGCCATCACTGGCGCTGTGCTGCGGCCCCGCGCCGCCCCGCGCCCCATCCTGCAGGACATGTCATGACAGATTCCGCCGCTAGATACCCGGCAAGCCCGGCAGCACGCGACAGGGGTGCCTTCCTGCCGGGGGAGGGGAGGGGGGGGCCGCTGCCGTGAGGCCTTCATTGCCCTCGGACAGGCGGGCCGGGCTGCCTTTACAGTGTACGTGCAAGCGGCACGTGACGGGCCCAGCGAGAACGAGAGCGAAACTGCAGGACCTCCCGCGCACGACTGTCTGGTGTCGTAGTTTGACGATGGCGAGCAGAGTCGCTCCGCGTGGAGCACGGCGATGCACAGTGGGCCAGAAGACCGGTGGAGGCGGTCTAAGCCCCGGACGCGTTTTGAGCTACACAGTCGCTAAATGAGACTCGAACCGAACGTGTGACCCCACCAATGGATTGCTCTCCGAACGAGGAATCCATTGGTGGGGTCACACGTTCGGTTCGAGTGCCATTTAGCGACTCTGAAGCTCAAAACGCGTGCGGGCTTTTGAACCGCCTCCGCCGGTCTTCTGGCCCACTGTGCGGCGACACCCAGACGACACGAGAAGTGCATAGCACCGCGATGCAGCGGTGCACGCTGAGGCCGTAGACCTCCCCGGCGAGAGTGGCGCCGCCTGGCGGCGTGACGGCGAGCCAACGCAACAACGCCCTGCCAAGGTCACGCGCACCCCGCGCTGCCACGCCACGCCACGCCGCGCCACGCCACGCCGCCACCGCAGCGGAAGCGGAGCGGAGCGAGCGGTCATCCCCTCCACGCCAGAGTTCAGATTGTCGAACTGGAAAAAATAATACAATACTGCACCCGCCCCTATCGGGCGTCGAACGCCGGTCTGCGATCTTGAGACTCGGCGTCGCTACTCCCACAGCCACGCTGTCACTGTCCTGGGCCCCGCTGTCGCTGTCCTGGGCCACGCTGCTGGCAGAATTCAGGCGCGCTGTTTCTTTGGCCTGCAAGTGCGTGGGGTTTTATTTGCGCGTCCACTTGCTTGCTTTGGAAGTGAGGGAGGAAGTGAGGCACACTGCGGAAACGAGGCGAAGAGGGCCTCCCCCGCACCGCTCCTATTAGGGCCCTTCCCTGACGTTCAAGGCGATGGAGTCTGGCGCACGCACGCAGCGGCCCCGTCGCTCCGTCTCCGTCACTCTCACGGGGCGTCTCGCGGGAGTGCGAGAGAGACAGAGCGACAAAGCGTTACGTCGTGGCGACGAAGGGCACACAGCCGGAAACTTTTAGAGAGAAACGTTACGTAAATTGAAAGAAATTCTTGTTTCCCATGCGACCTTTGGCGCGGATCGGTTGTATTCCCTTTGAAACGTTAAAGGTATTTTTGTAAACGCCGCGTCGTCTGTGATTACTGCGGAAGGGCGTCCGTGACTTATGTTGTTTTCCACAGTGTCGCGCGGTGGATTAAGAGGAGAAATTCCTTCCTGACTCCGTTATTACTCTCGGTGTACAATTAGGCTAACGTGTGAAGAGGCTCGCCTCCCCGCACCGCGCGGCACCGCACCGCGCCGGTCACGCCAGCGAGGGGTGAACCGGAGAAACCCTCGAAAACGACGTGTTTCCTAATGGTGTAGTTCCCGAAGCAGCAGCGCGCGCTTAGCACCCGGCACGTCGCACAGTGGGCCAGAAGACCAGTGGAGGCGGCCGAAACTCCAGACGCATTTTGAGCCCAAGAGTCTGCTAAATGGGGCTCGAACCGGACGTGTGACCCCACCAATGGATTGCTCTCCGAACGGGGAATCCATTGGTGGGGTCACACGTCCGATTCGAGTCCCATTTCGCGACTCCGGAGCTCAGAACGCGTCTGTGGCCACCTCTACGGGTCGTTTGGACCTCGTTTCGGAAACGCAGCCGGCCATTGTCTTATTCGCGGCGTTCGGTTGAGCGTGCCAGGCGTGCCCGTGACCGCGACGAAACGCGCGCATAATACAAGGCCGAGGGCGCAGGGCTGCGCAGGGCGGAGGGAGCAGCAAGGCGCAGCAGTGCCGATCAGCAAGGCGGTGCGTCGCGGTGCGTCGCCGACCGAGACAGGCGTTTGGAGCCGCCGCTTCCTCCCGCACAAAGCGAACAGCGCCAACAGACCGGCTCCGAAGAGTGCGTCGCTCTGTCTCTGTCGCACTCCAATGCGCTCCGCACGCGAGAGAGAAAGAGAGCGAGAGACAGCTGCCTGCCGGCAGTCGATGGCCTTAGAGGCGGGTGAGATCACTCCTATCGCCGTATCGCACGCGCTCGCGCAGTCTCGCGCAGTCTCGCGCAGTCTCGCGCACGCTGCTTGATCGGTCCATCATTACCTCGGCCTTGACTCCCGGGAAGACGCATCCAGGAAGGCCCTGTTGCTGCGGGGCAGTCTGTCTGTCTGTCTGTCTGTCTGTCCATCTGTCTGTTCGTCCGTCAGGATCTGATTTTGCTGAGCAAAGTCAGGCCTCTGCGGCCCTTTGGAAAGGACGTGGACTTTGCCGCCTTCCCTTCGGTCCTTCCCTTTCGTCCTGCAGTCGGATTCCGAGAGCCGTTTGCGTCTCTCTCGCACTCACGGGACGCTCCCTACGGGTGCGAGAGAGACAGGGCGACGAAAACGACGCGGCGCCCTTCGGGGTGTGAGTCTCGCATTACTTGATTAGCGCCTTTCTCAGGCCGATGGCACAATGGTGACGCTGTCAGGGCGGTTTACTTTCCTCGCGGACAAAGCGGTGTCCTTCCCCGGGCTAGAAAGTGGGAGGGAGGGAGGGAGAGAGAGAGAGAGAGAGAGAGAGAGAGAGAGAGAGAGAGAGAAGAGAGAGGAGAGGCGTGGGGGCGGTTTCGGCAAGAGGACCTAATGAATCCGATCAGCGGGTCAAGATACAGGCCTGTACGTGACGCGGCCGATATGAAGACGATGATTCAGGTGTCGGTGAAACTTGATTCGGCCGTATTGTTTTACCGACCTTTCCCAATTGTGCACTGTCAACAAGCGAAGCGCACGCACTGGGGAAAAAGCTCCCGGTTATGAGTTCTACAGCCCCGCAGTGGCGGGTTCGACTCCCCGCGGCGCCGCGCGCGGCTTTTCGAAAGCCCGCCCGAAGCGCTGGAGAGCGAGGAGCGAGCCGGCTGATCTGCGATCCCATCCCATCCCATCCCACAGGAAAGTAAAACCTCTTTTGTTCTTTCCCTGCTAACGCTGCTCTTGTCCCCCTCCTGCGCTCAAGTCTCCCTGGCTTTGCCCGGCGTTGCCTCCCGCGGCGCCTCGGGACCAACGTCTCATTGCGCTGCAGGGAAAATGGGAAAACGCAGCGCAGTCGGAGTGGTTTCACCTCGGGAGGGCCTGGGTCCCGGGTTCGACTCCCGCCCCCGGGGCCGCGCTTTTTGACGCCGTAATTAGATCTCGAGCGATCCCCGCATTGAGTTAGTTAGACGGCCTGCCGCGTCACGCCGCCCTGCCGGCCGGGCCCCGCTAGCGGAGCTCCGCCCAGTTTGATACAACCAACAAACAACAATGACAACTCACAACTCATCGCCTCCTTTTCATCCATCTCACTCCCGGTGGCTGCGGCTGGGGCCGTGGTGGGGCCCTGGTGGGGCCCTGGTGGGGCCCGCGGGACGAAATCATTACAATACGAAAATAGAAAGGGGAAACGGGGGAGAAATGAAGAATCAGGACTGGATAATCAATATTTATTATCTGTCAAGCGGGCGGCGACACACAGAGAGCAGCAGCACCGAGGCACTTCCACTGTGTGTGTTTAGGGGCGAGTGCCCGCGGCACTGTCGGTGTGTGTGTGTGTGTGTGTGTGTGGTGTGTGTGCTGCACAGAGACGGCCTACCCCACTCAGTTCCACCTCGCGAGGCACAAAGTGCCCATAAAGTCCTCGTATGAGCAGCTCGGCCGTCCCAGTAAATCTCGCCGTGTGTGTGTGTGTCTGTAAGTGAATACCTCGAGACCGCGCGCGGCTGAGCCCGCCTCAGCCCAGTATGGCCGCCTCGAAGCCCTGTCCCGACTTACTCCGCCGAGGCGACGTCCGTTCGGTTCGGCTTTCTGAAGGGACGTTGCGTGCAGTTTGAGTGCCAGCCAGCCAATGGGCGCCAAGGCCTACGCTCCTCGCCGATGGCGCTTCGTTTCCGTCCCCGCCTACCTTTCCCTTCCGCCTGCCGCGCCTTGCCGCCCAGTCGGGCCAACCGAAACCGACGAATAATTATCTTTTGTGATGATGAGAATCGTCGAAAAACACAATCCAGGGTGTGGCGTGGGTGGTGACAGTGTCACGCCCGGCGAGGCGCCGCGCCCGTCTGCCTGCCTGTCCGTCCGTCCTGCCTGTCTGTCCGTCCGTCCGGGAAGAATCACACATCGCACGCTGACCTTTGTGGATTTAGCGACCTTTGCCTGGCTCGCTGCATCTCGTTGGCGCATTCCGCGTTGGTACATCATCTTCTACCCTCCGCCACGCCGCCTCGCTGTGCTTCCTCCTGCCGGCCTACATCGTCCTGCACTTCTCCGTGTGTGCACGCGCGGCCCGCGTGCGTCGTCCGTCTGCCGTCCACACATGGAGTCCGCGAGGAGACCAAGGGGGCTCTTCGTTAGGGGCGCCGTGAGCACCCCATGAGCCCTCCGAAAGCGGAGCGCCGCTTGCGCGAGCCCCGTTCGTTTTCAGAAAGCCATGCGACGTTTCGACATTTCTTGGACACAGTGAAAGAAAACGTTTTGTTTTGTTTAAATGATGGCGTGAGTGACTTTTCCGCACATTCTGGAGGCCCGTGCGCCCGGCCCGCCTTCCTGGAGGCCGCAGCAACAACAAGCTTGTCGCAAGCCAGTCGTAAAGCTGAAGGCTCGCTTCGGCCGCGCAGTTATGACCCTTCATTTTCTACGATTCGGCCGGACAGGCGAAATAAAGGCAGGCCAATTAGATGAAAGTAGGTTGGGTCAGCTGTCTGTGCTTCTGCCTCCGCGTGTGCGCTATGGCTGTTGTTGTTATGTCAGCTTTCTGTGCTTCTGCCTCGGCGTACACTGTCTGTTGTTGGTTAGGTTAGGCTAGGTCAGCTGTGCTTCTGCCTCGGCGTATTCTGTCTCGGCGTATTCGGCCTCGGCGTATTGCTGGTTAGGTTCGGCTCGGTCTATGCTTCGTGCGCCTCTTCTTGTTGTCCGTGGCGTCCGTGACGGCGTCCACGCGTGTCCGCTGCAGGGCGGGCCGCCCCGTCCTAAACACATCAGATAAGCGGTCCGTAATTGCAGAGCCTCTCGATCATCTTATTACTATATTACCGCGGGCCAGGCGGCGGGGCGCGGCACCTCTACCGAGCCTCCAGCCGCGGCCTCCAAGACCAAACGCATTTCTGTTCATAAACGTGTTTTTGTCGGCGTGGCTGCCCGCTGTGTGGCGCGGCGCGCGGGAACTAGAGAGAGAGACGGAGAGACAGGGATGGCGGCGCGTTTTCCCAAAAGACGCACTCTGTGTGCTTACCCCGGGAATCAGCACGTGATGCTGCCGGTGGTTTTCGCTGTCTCTCTCGCACTCGTGGCGCTTCCCGCAGGGCCGCGAGAGAGACAGCGCGGCGACACGCTGCCCGCTGTCCCTTTATGCGTTTTGAATAGAAACGAGGCCTTGTTCGTCTCAAGTCGCCGCCCGGCCTAAGCTAAGCTCGGCCCGCTACGCGCCGCTCATGCCGTCCCTGGGTCGCGCCGTGTGCCTCCAAAACAATCTTCCCGCGCCGTTCTGCTCCAGAAGGGCCGGGAGGGCCGGGAGGGCCAGGAGGGCCACACAGCGGTGCGCGACGTGACGGATCGGTGTTGGCCTTGAGTGGGAAAGGCCGGCGCTGGGGGGTATCGGACTACGGATGGATGGGTCCGGGTTCGACTCCCGGCACCGGCGAAGTCTTTTCGCCGCGGGGGGCGGGCGAGGAGGACGACTGGCGAGAGGCAGCCGCCGCAGGGGGTAAAGTCGGCCCTAGGCTTGGCCCTAGCCGCCTTTCTCTCGCACACTTTTTTCCGCTTAGCCCTTGTACTTGTAAACGCTCTGCCCGGCCGCGGGGTAACATCGTGTCCAGGCGCAAGGCCTTCCCGACGTCCCCGGCCACCTGCAGCAGGGCCAGCAGGGCCAGCAGGGCCCGTCGGAGTGCGGGGCCAGCACAATCCGCGCCATGTTTTATGCATACCGAGCTCGTCCCGCGACCTGTCTCTCTCGCACTCGTGGGGCGTGCCGCAGCGTGCCGCGTGGGCGCGAGAGAGACAGAGCGACGAAGCGCTGCGGATAATGATCGGCTGCCTGTATCGCACGGCCCCGTTATTCGCCCTCACGAGACTGATCGACGTCAACACCTCCACCGGCCGCAGACTGAGAGTCGTCCCGTCTCTCTCGCACTCATGGCACGTCCCGTAGAGGTGCGAGAGAGACAGAGCGACGAAAGCGACTGGCGGCTGGCTGGCGTCGTCCCAGACACTGCTAGGCCGGGCTACGCGCTGGAGGTGGCCGCGGAGGGGCTCGGGGTGGAGCGGAGGCATCATGGCGATCGGTAATTCTAGAGCACGGCAGCTCGGCGTGGGATCGGCGGAGAGGCGTGGCAGAGCGGAAAAAAAAGAAAACTGAAATCCCCGAAGGTTCACACTCACTCGGCGCGAGAGCACTCGGGATGATGCTCCCCAAGGTCTCGTTTTCCCTCATTAGAAAGAAGTGTCCGTTTGACACTGTGAAATGTGATGAGCGTCCGGCGACGGTGGCGCAACCACAGAGCCACCCGGGTTTTGCACGTTTGGCCGTGACCACTCGCTCCGTCCCTCTCTCCGTTTCGCTTTTTCGTCGCTCTTTCTCTCTCCAGCGTCCAGTGGCGCTGCGGCGCCCGCTTGCGACAGACGGTTGTTTGCTATTGATAGCGGATCCGACGATCGGCAGGTTGTCGCGTTGCCGGTGTTTGAGGCCCCAGTGTTATTGGGTCGGGCATGCCGCAAAGGGCCTTGCCGGGCCCTGCGGACCTCGCGGAGGGACACTGTAAGCTTGCCAACTTGTCGCCAACCGCAACACGGCCAACCAGTGATCCGTTTTATTTTATTTTTGCCTCTTTTTTCTCTTTATTGTGGTACGATAAAGTCTACTTTCACAAAAAAAAAGTTTTCACGATGTTTTACCTTTTTTTATGGCTGCGTAAAATGTTGAATGAAGTAGTGCATGTGCAAGCATTTTGTGCTCCCTGATATGAGCTGTTTGAGCAAACAGTACACACAAAACCGGACAGACAGACACACAGGCAGACAGACAGACAGACAGACAGACAGACAGACAGACAGAGGGCGCGTGGCTAGCTGCATCGTGACCACACCGCGTCCTCGGCGTCCCCGGCCGGCCTCCCTGCTTGTGGAACAGGCACACGTCTTGGAGGGCCGGACGAGCAGTGTAGTCGTGAACAACGTGCCTGCACTCGATTTAACAGTGTCCCCGTGTGTCCACAGGCACCAATGTGGCGCTGCGCAAGCCGGCCAACCAGTCCACGACGGTGAGGGGCGGCGCGGCGGGCAACGCGAACGACGGCGACCTGAGCACCGTCCACGACGGCCGCCTGTGCACCGAGACGCAGCGGGAGCCGTCGCCCTGGTGGCGGGTGGACCTGCTCCGGCCGTACCCCGTGCGCACCGTCAGGATCACCACGAGAGGCTGCTGCGGTGAGTGTTCAATGACCTCGCGGCCGAGTGGGTTCAGGCGTCGATTCCTACTTCAAAACCTTGGGTTCAAACCCTCATGAAATAATGATTTTGTTTTATTTTTCCTTCGACTTTGCTTGCAAATAGGGCTTTTAAATTAACTTCCTGGGCGTGAAGCCTCCCACACTCGGCCGCAAACGCGTCCATCCTTGCGCAAGCCCTGCTCGCTGGCATTCAGGACACTCGCGTTTTCTTTCGATAATAAAGTTAACGAACGTGCTGTTGCGTGGAGTGGAGCGTGCAGTGGGGCCCGGCGCGGCCCGGTCGGACCGCGCGCCGTTTTTGAAATGTCAGCAAGCTCCCTTTGGTCGGGCGGGTCGGCCTGCGCGGCCCGCCGCATGCAGAGTGGCCATTGCAAAGTGCACTTGGCGCCGGTTCAAACCCCGCCCGGGTATTTTGCCTTCCCTCACAAAGAAAAACCCTGCTGAAGCCGCGTGTCTGTGTTCGGCAGGGCACCAGCCGCTCCAGGACCTGGAGATCCGCGTCGGCAACAGCAGCCATGACCTCCAGCGGAACCCGCTGTGCGCCTGGTTCCCGGGCACCATGGGTAAGTATCCCCGAAAGGGAAATAAAAATTAAAAAAACGGCGATAAAAAGCGAAAACGCCTCGCATGATAAAAGCGGAGCTGACGCCAGTCGTCCGTGGAACGAACTCGGACCGCGTAATGGCTCACTGTAAAAAAGCGATGGCGACCTGTCGATGACGTCACCGTGCCTCCAACGAGTGTCTCTCTGCCCGCAGAGGAGGGCGTCACCAAGATGTTCAGCTGCGCGCGCGCCCTGGTCGGCCAGTACGTGTTCCTGCAGCTCGTCGGCGTCGAGGGGTCGCTGTCGCTGTGCGAGGTGCAGGTCTTCACATCGGAAGGTGAGTCTCACCCAAGCTGTCTGGGCCCACGCGCACCGGGACAGGCGGTGTCTCCCTCGCACTCGCGGGCCGTCCCGTGCAGGAGCGAGAGAGACAGAGCGACCGGTCGGCCTTGCGTCTTGAACCTGCACCAGTAGTGCGAATGGGGCAGCAGGAAGAGAGAGACAGAGAGAGAGTCGTACGTTACCTGGCAGTGCTGTTACTTAGACACACCGGTAACTAATGCCAACGCGGTGCCGTCCTGGCAGGTGGCTGTGTGTGTGTGTGTGTGTGACTGTGTGAGTGCAGCAGCACTCGGCAGCACTGAGCGTGCGGTGCTGCCAACTACAGTTATTGGCCGTCCGTGTAAAGAGCCTGGAAAAGAAAGAAATACGAGTGGCGCCCCGTCTTGAAAGTCTTGAAAGTCTTGAAGTGGTGCCAGATCGGATTGGGGCGGCGCACCGTACCATAGCGTACACGAAAACCGTTTGCCGCAGCGCGCGGTTGTAAAAAGACGAAATATGTAACCGGGAGTCGAACCACGGACCTTATCATCGTGGAGCGCGCGGTGCGTCAACTCAAGGTAGCCCGGAATGCCGCGGAGAAAAACAGTGAACCGGATGGATGGGTGGAGGAGTTCGTGTAGGACTGCACCCACGGCCTCTCTCTCTCCCCGTTGGTTTGATTATCGCTCTTTGAGCGTGACGAGGGTGAGTGTGTGTGTGTGTGTGCGCGCGTGCGTGTGTGAGTGAGTGCGGCACGCGTTGTCGCCCCCAACAAGTTAATACAGTGCGGTGGTGCGCATGCTGCGTGCACCGCGTGATTACATTGTAGCGCTCCATTCCGACTTTGGTTCTTTCATTACGGCCGAACGTACCTTTTCTTTTCCTAAGAACGGTTCGGGAGAAAAACACACCCGCCAGACAGACAGACAGACAGACAGACAGACAGACAGACAGACAGACAGGCAGTTCGGCATTATGTAAAGTGTCGCGCCAAACGAAAAAAAAAACAATCTTGTTGGATTTGAACCCACGCCCGTTGGGTTAGGTGGCGAGAAAGCGGCTTGGAGTGCGAACTTGTCAGTCACCGCGGCCGGGCCGGCCGGCTTCTCTTTTGACTATCGATTTATCATCATTAGGGTTGGGAGGTTCGGCCCCCCCAGCCGGGGCCGGCCGGGGCCCGCGACGCGTGGTAGTCCCCAGCGGGGGCTCCGCTGCTCTCCGGAGTAAAGTTCGGCCTATTTCGGCCAAGAGATAGCGTGACTCACCTGGCTAAGTTCAAACACTCATTTAAAAAAAAAAACATGATTGGTTGTGTATGCCTGCGAGTGAGTGTGCTGGTTGATCTGTGTGCGTCTCAAGAAGCGGAGCGACGGAAAGGTGAAAGGAACCACCGTGGTGACGCATGTCCGTACGGGACGGCAGCTGGATTTCCACCCAATGTCTGTCTGTCTGTCTGTCTGTCTGTCTGTCTGTCTGTCTGTCTGTCTGAAGCATCGTGCGAATAGCATAGCATAATGACACTTTGGGGGCACCGCCAGCGCCGTGCAGCGCCGAGCAGCGGTACGCGCGTGTGACAGCCGAACACTCGTAGAGATGGGAAGGAATGCTTTTTAAAAAGCTTCACGACCAGCCGCCTACTCTCCCTCTCTCTCTCTTCCTCAGGATCCATGACGAGGAAGGTCGACGTCGTTTTTCCTTGTTTTTGTTGTTTTTGTCGGCGTTCGAGTCGTGCGTACGCGTGTGGTTATTCATTGCGGTGTGGGAGTTGTTCATTTCTCCTACCTAAATGTTCGCCTACCTGTCTATTTCGCCTACCTATATTTCGCCTACCTAATAAAAATATTGAAAAAAAATATTCAAAAAAATATTGCCTTTTTTTCGCCTACCTATAGTTCGCCTACCTAAAAAAAAATTAAAAAAAAATTTAAAAAAAAAAAAAAAAAAATCGGCGGCAAAAAGTGGCAATACAAAGTCTCAAGGAACCCGCCGATCAGCTTCGGTTCTTAGGGGAAACCGGGCCTTCATCCGACCTCCCGCCGCGCAATTCGACAGATTAGTGGGTTCGTTTTGGGGCTGGCCCACCCGAAGTGCGCGGGGTTTCTGTGGTACAGTGAGAGTCCAGATTCAGAGGCCTTACCTAAAGGGGGGTCACTTTGGGGTATTTGAACCCGCGACCCCGAGTGCCGAGTCTAGTCAACTCCTCTCCCCTGACCGCTCAGCCACCGAACCAGCTTTCGGCGGCGATGTCGCAACTCCTCTTGAGCTGCCGTTCGAGAAATCTGGTCCCGAAAAAATTGTACTTTGAGCGGTCTCAAACCCCGGGGACCTGCTGCTTCCCATATCATGCTCTTAACCACTGAGCCACCGGGACGCCAGGGCCCCCCCTGCCTGCGCTGGTACTCATCTTCTCTGGATATACCTCCCCAAGCAATTGGTCGCCGAAAAAATTGTGTATACTACCGGTCCCAAACCCGGGACCTGCCGCTTCCCTTATCATGCTCTTAACCACTGAGCCCCCGGGGACGCCATAGCACCCGCCCCCCTGCGCTGGTACTCAATCTTCTCTGGATATACCTCCCCAAGCAATTGGTCGCCGAAAAAATTGTGTATACTACCGGTCCCGAACCCGGGACCTGCCGCTTCCCATATCATGCTCTTAACCACTGAGCCACCGGGACGCCATGGCACCCGCCCTGCCTGCGCTGGTACTCAATCTTCTCTGGATATACCTCCCCAAGCAATTGGTCGCCAAAAAAATTGTGTATAATACCGGTCCCGAACCCGGGACCTGCCGCTTCCCATATCATGCTCTTGACCACGGGCCACAGGGACGCCACGGCACCCGCCCTGCCAGCGCTGGTACTCAATCCTCTCCGGATAGACCTCGTCAAGAAGTCGGTTGCCTCTGCCGAAAAATATGCTCATGGTACTAGTCTCGAACCCGAGACCTGCCAGTCAGGAACGCAGCACTCTAACCACTGCGCTACTTGGTTGCTACGCACTGCGCTCACCCCATCGCCGAAGTTATTATTTGTCCAGCATCAAGCAAGATGGGTGGCTTTTGAAGTTTGGCGCTAGGTAAGTGGCGTGCATAGCAACCTGGTAGCGCCGTGGTTAGAGTGCTGCGTTCCCGACTGGCAGGTCTCGGGTTCGAGACTAGTACCATGAGCATATTTTTCGGCAGAGGCAACCGACTTCTTGACGAGGTCTATCCGGAGAGGATTGAGTACCATCGCTGGCAGTGCGGGCACCATGATCCTCCGGTAGCTCAGTGGTTAAGGGCACGTTGTGGGAAGCGGTAGATCCCGGGTTCGGGACCGATAGTTTATACATTTTTTTCGGCCACCAATTGCTTGGGGAGGTATATCCAGAGAAGATTGGGTACCGGCACTGGCAGGGCGGGTGCCGTGGCGTCCCTGTGGCTCAGTGGTTAAGAGCATGATATGGGAAGCGGCAGGTCCCGGGTTCGGGACCGGTAGTATACACAATTTTTTCGGCGACCAATTGCTTGGGGGGTATATCCAGAAGATTGAGTACCAGCGCAGGCAGGGCGGGTGCCATGGCGTCCCCGGGGGCTCAGTGGTTAAGAGCATGTTATGGGGAGCGGCAGGTCCCGGGGTTTGGGACCGGTAGTATACACAAATTTTTTTGGCGACCAATTGCTTGGGGAGGTATATCCAGAGAAGATTGAGTACCAGCGCAGGCAGGGCGGGGGCCATGGCGTCCCCGGGGGCTCAGTGGTTAAGAGCATGATATGGGAAGCAGCAGGTCCCCGGGGTTTGAGACCGCTCAAAGTACAATTTTTTCGGGACCAGATTTCTCGAACGGCAGCTCAAGAGGAGTTGCGACATCGCCGCCGACAAGCTGGTTCGGTGGCTGAGCGGTCAGGGTAGAGGGGTTGACTAGACTCGGCCTCGGGGTCGCGGGGTTTAAAAACCCAATGTGACCCCTCTGAGGTAAGGCCTCTGAATCTGGACTCTCACTGTACCACAGAAACCGCGCGCACTTCGGGGGGCCAGCCCAATACGAACCCACTAATCTGTCGAAATTTCGCGGCAGGGGGCGTCGGAAAAGGCCCGGGTTCCCCTAAGAACACCGAAGCTGATCGGCGGGTCTCCTTGAGACTTTCGTATTGCCACTTTTTGCCGCCGATTTTTTCTTTTTTTTTTTTTTTGAATATTTTTATTTAATTTTTTTATTAGGGAGGCGAACTATAGGTAGGCGAAAATGGCAATATTTTTTTGAATATTTTTATTCAATATTTTTATTAGGTAGGCGAAATATAGGTAGGCGAAATAGACAGGTAGGCGAACATTTAGGTAGGAGAAATGATATAGACTCTGCGGTGTACAAGTAATACCGGAAAAAAAAAAAAATAACACTGGTGTAAATCAATTTAGAAATTTTCTGATAAACGGTTGATTTTCTGATAACTTGACAGACAAACATCAGATTTCGAGTATTTTCTGATTACATCAATTATTTATCAGAAAGGGGTCATCAGAAATGTTTTTTTTCTGATACTTTCATAGGTCATCAGAATGGAGACATCAGAAAAAGAGACCTTTCTGATAAGTCGATCTGATTTCTGATAACTGCAAGTTATCAGAAATATAATCGTCAGAAATGTTTCTGATGTCTGATGTTCAAAAAAATGAGATCCCTGTAAAAAAGAAAGTTTACATAATTTCAGTTTCAAATTTGGTGAGTGTCTTGTTTGCAAGATTTGGCTAGGCCAGTTTTTATCTTTATGAGATCGAATCACATTTACCGTCTTTTTGAGAGTTAACGGCGAGCTAGCTCAATTTGGACTGCAGATTTGGATCGGACTCGGTTTCGACCCCCCTAAGACGTTTTCCCTGTTTCCGAGTCTCATGTAGATCAAAATATATATTAACAGAAGAAAATGATTGTTCTGATATATTTCTTTATGAGTCCAGCCGATGTTATCAGAATTAAGTCATCAGAAAATAGAGGCATCAGAAACACAATTATCAGCAATAGGTGTCCGAAAAAACATCAAAACTCAGACATGAGAAATGTTCTGATATGCAAAAGTATCAGAAAATTTCTGAGTTGATTTACACCAGTGAAAAATATTAGAAAGGCGGCGTCACTTTGAAGAAATAAAACTACGAAACGAGTACGGAAACCACCTGAGAGTGCTCTCGTGAAGTCGGTATGTGTGTGTGTGCGCGACCCCCTGTGCGCCACACTGTGTGCCTAGGCCCCGCAATAAAGACAAGGGCAATCGAGTCGCCCCGGCCATCAAATTGGGGTTCCCAACAACAACAACAACATGACCATCATCAAAGCGAGCGGGGGTGTTAATGCGCCGGAATGTCAAATGTTTTCACTCGTGTGCGTGTGTTTGTGTGTGTGTGTGTGTGTGTGTGTGAGGGGCTGCTCGCCGATTGGCTGGGACGTCGATCCGATCTGTGTCGGGAAAGGGAAGTACCCGCTCTGAGTGACTTGCGGCGCAGTCGTGGAGTGCATGGGGCTCTGTGTGCGTGCGTGCTTGTTATTTGTGTGTGTGCGGGGGGAGGGGGAGGGGGATAGTCGTTTCGGCCCCGTTTCTCCTTTTCGGTGTGTCGCGCGCGCTGCCTAGCGCTTGCCTAGCGCTGCCTAGGTCGTCGGCAGCACAACCACTACTCTCGCACTTCCTTTTATGCTGCGCACACACACTCACACACACACACGGCCATTCTGTTGTGCCCCGCGGTTGCCGGGGCAACGGGCTGTCAGTCATCAACACGCCGCGGGCCGCTCATCCCCAGTGTACACTCGCCGACTGATAAACGGCACTCGGCCCCTCCCCACCCCTCCCCCCTCACCACCCCACTGCCCCCAAGGCCCCCACCTGAACGCTATTCGACAGCAGCCCCCACTCCCGTCAATGAATAGTATCTGAACTTGGCAAACAGCGCGCCGACCGGGTCGACCCCGCGCGCGAAGCGCCCAGCCAAATGTTGTTACTTTTCCCCCCGGTGAAAGCCCAGAGCCCAAAGCCTGCGCACCCGTGAAAGCCTTGAAAGCCCGCAGTGGTACGGCCGCGTGAGGTTCGATTGCCGCCAATGTGTGGTTTTTGTTCTGTGACGCGCGGCCCGGCATTAGGGAGGCCGTAAGTCCCAACGGCGCCTGTCTTTATTTATTTTATTTTCGACGTTAATCACCGACGCTATTAGTTGGCGGCCGCTACTTAGTCACTCGGCCACGCGACCGGCCCGCCCCCCCGAAACTAGGGTGGCCACACGGCCGGGGCGGCCTTCCGCGCGGCGGCCTTCCACGGGGCGGCGTTGCACCCGCCGCGCGGCAACCTTATCTTTGGCACCGATTGGGCGACACACGCGATGGGGCAATATAGAGTGTCCACCCGCCGCACTTGCGTGTGCGTGCGCACGCGCGTGTACGTGTGTGTGTCTTTGTGTGCGAGGTCTGACGTGAGCGCTGTGTGTGTATCGGCTTCCCCTCGCGCCATGCTCTGTGTTCGACACCCTGGAGGCCCTGGAGACCCTGGAGGCCCTGTAGGCGCGCCTCTTGTGGTCCCGGTGGCGCGGTTGGCGGTCGCTGCCAGGCCCTGCCGTCTCTTCCGTGGACTCGTGGACCTCCCACGCCGCGGTGCGCGGTGCGGTGCGCGGTGCGGTGTGCGGGTCTCTGGGCGTGGCGTGCACCTGTATGGCGTGCGCGGCGTGCGCGGCGTGCCCCCCACGGGGCCGTGGGGTGTGGCGGTGCCCCGCGGCCGGGTGCGACTTATTGAGCCTGTGGTGACCCTGGCCGTGCCTGGCCGCCGGTGCGGGTGCATCCCATCCACGGCCACGTCTAACCATGTTCCTTTCTCGTGTTCACAGAGTTCTCCGACGACCGGTGCGCGCCGGCGGGCGGCGCCGCGGACACGGAACTGGCGGCGTTCGACCGCGTGTGCTTCGAGCTGGCCGTCAAGTCGGGCGGCTCCTTCGAGGCGGCGCGGTCGGCGTGCCGCGCGCACGGCGGCGACCTGGTGCACGGCCTGTCCGGCGCCAGGAACCTCTTCCTGCTGGCCGAGCTGGAGCGCCGCAAGCAGACCCTCAAGACGCAGCTCGTGTGGATCGGCGCGCAGAAGGACCCCGGCGTCGTGTCGCGCACCTGGCGCTGGGTCGACGGCGAGGTGGTGGTGCGCCCCGCCTGGGGCAAGGACCAGCCCAACAACTACAACGGCGAGCAGAACTGCGCCGTCCTGGACGGCGGCCGCGGCTGGCTGTGGAACGACGTGGGCTGCAACCTGGACTACCTGCACTGGGTCTGCATGCACAGTGAGTACCGCCATCGAGATCCTTTTGGGGAAGCGCCTGGCCAAGCGGAGGTAGGCAGCCCGACGACACCCGTGCCGCGCGGCCGGGGTCTTGCCTACCCGGCAGGCGCTCCGCGGCGCGCCGCTCGGAACCTCGGAACCTCAGAACCCCGGAACGGAGGGAGGAAAGGGAGGGCGACGGCGACGTCGGTGGCGCGGACAGGGGAACGTCCGCGCGGCGTGACGGCGGGCAGCGCGGACAGCGCGGCCGGGGCGTGCAGGTGTCGACACGTCCCTTCCCGTCGCGTGGTGTGCGGGTCGTGCCTCTTCCCTCTCCCTCCCTCTCCAATTTGCAGGACTGCAGGACTCGCTCCACTTGCTGCACAATGCCCGACTGGCGGACCACGGCGGACACTCTCGCTTCGCCCGCCTCGCCTCGCCTTGCCTTGCCTTTCGCATAACCGGCGGCCGGCAAGGCAAGGCGGGCCGGCGGGCCGACCGGCAGGGCGCCGCTTGGCGCCGCAAGGCCACTCGTAATTCAGCTTTTACTGCGCGGCTTTTCCTATCATCCTCTTAATTCCACCGCTCGGCGCGGAGCGGAGTGAAGCGGAGAAACCGCCTTTTTGTCTTTCCTCGGCCGGCGCGGCTGTCTCTCTCGCACCCGTGGCGCGTCCCGTAGGGGTGCGAGAGAGACACGCTCGGTGGCGCGATGCGATGCCGGGAAGGCCCGGTTGGACTAGCGCGGACTTGGCGGGGCCACGCCCAGAGTGGGCGACGGCGTGCATGAGCTGGCCCGGCGTGCCGGCCTGCCGGCGTGCCTCACTGGACTGACGCGGTCGGCGGGCGGGGCCCCGGCCGGGCCGGGCGGCGAGCCATCCGGGTTTAGTGCGCGGGCCAGCGAGCGGACGAGAACGAGACGAGCCGACCGCGCGGCGCGAGGTTCAACAACTCGCCGGCCTTGAGTGTTCCAGAAACGATGGCTTGGCCGCTTGGCCCCAGCCTGGATCCGAACCCTCCGGACCCTGCAGACACGCCGGGGTACTCCAGCAGGTGGACGGGGCGGGGCGTGGCGGGCGTCGTGAAGGGTGTTGCCGGAAGGGGCAGTGGCAGCGAGCGACGGGACAATTAACTCAGCAGGCTGATCCCGGCTGCTCTCTTCGCTCTGTCTCTCTCGCACTCATTGGGCGTGCCGTAAGGGTGTGAGAGAGACAGACGGCGACGAAAGCAGTGCTCGGTATCAGTCCGCTGCACGCGCTGCGTCCAACCGGGAAAGCAAACTTCTTCTGTTCCGTTCACCGTACACGCGCCTTTGTTTTGCAGTGCCCTCGTCCTGCGGCTCCCCGGACAAGCTGGTCAACACGACGGTGGTGGGCAGCAACCACTCGGTGCACGCCGTCATCTCGTACCGCTGCCCCGAGGGCCACATGCTGGTGGGCTCGGCGAACCGCACCTGCGCCAAGGACGGCTTCTGGACCGGCGAGGCGCCCAGCTGCATGTGTGAGTACTCTGTCTCTGTCGCACTCGTCGGGCCACCCGGAGGGGTGCGAGAGAGACAGATAGCCGTACCGAGTCATGCCGTCTCGAACGCGCGGCGAACGGGGATCGGAAGCGCCCGTCGTCTGGAACGGCGTGAAGTAAGACGCAGACGTCGGCGAGGTGTAAGAAAGCGGGCAGCGCGCACCACACCGGGAAGTCACGTCATCGTCGTGCCGTGCCGGCAGTGCCTCTCGGCGCTGCGGCTGCGCTTGCGGCGTTACGCACGCCGACTTGCCGACGCGGCGATACTCCTCGCGGCGCCGCGGCGATACCCCGCGCCGCAGAGGGAAGTGCCGCCGCCAGGCCGTCAGGCAGGGAGTATCGCCGCCTCATCCTGAGCCTCTGCTTCCAGACGTGGACTGCGGCGGCGTGACCGCCCCCGAGAACGGCGCCGTGAACCTCCTGGACGGCCGGACGACCCACGGCGCCGCGGCGCGCTACTCGTGCAACCTCAACTACACCCTGATCGGCCAGGAGCGGCGCACGTGCGGCGACGGCGGCAAGTGGACGGGGGACCAGCCCAAGTGCCTGTGTGAGTATGGGTGAAAACCGTAGCGGGCGCGCGGATTCGAACCCGGGTCGCTGACGTGGCTTTCGGTTTGCAGTCGACTGGTGCGGCGAGCCCCCCGCGGTGCACGGCGGCTTCGTAGAGACCAGCGGCCGCAGGGCCGGCTCCATCGCCACGTACTCGTGCCAGCCGGGGTTCATCTTGTTCGGCACGGGGGTGGTGTCCTGCGGGCTGGGCGGCGAGTGGTCGGGCAAGGCCCCGCAGTGCAAGTACGTGGACTGCGGCGCGCCGCCCATCATCGACAACGGACACTACCGCCTGCTCAACGGCAGCACCACGTACGGCAGCAGCGTGGAGTACGTGTGCGACCAGGACTACTGGCTGGAGCCCGAGAACCAGGCGCGCCAGCTCTGCACCCGCGAGGGCAAGTGGTCGGGGGTCACGCCGTCCTGCGAGAGTAAGTGTAGTCGCCGCGTCTCTCGCACCCCCCTGCTGTGTCTCCAGTGCGTGGATTTGACCCCCTTTCTTGTACCAGAAATCACCTGCGGCGAGCCTGAGGTGCCCGGCGGCGGCTACGTGGTGGGCATCGACTACAACGTGCACTCCAGCATCGAGTACCACTGCGACCCCGGGCACGTGCTTCGCGGCGAGCCGCACCGCCAGTGCATGAACAGCGGCGACTGGTCCGGGGAAGCCCCGGCCTGCGAGTGTGAGTAGTGGCCGGTGGTGGTGGCCGAGGCCTGGCCAAGGCGACCGTGGCTCGGCAATGACGCGGTGCTCTGTTTGCAGACGTGGACTGCGGGAAGGTGCCCACCATGCTGTACGGCTCGGCGCACTACGCCAACAGCACCACCTACCTGGGCAGCGTCATCACCTACTCGTGCGTGCGCAACTACCGCCTCGTCGGCGTGCAGTCCCGGCAGTGCCAGGAGAGCGGCCAGTGGAGCGACGGGTCGCCGCGCTGCGAAGGTAAGGCAACCGTAGGCAAGCGAGCTGCACCATGGTTTTGTTTCTCTACTCTCACTTCCAACCCGAAACCCGCCGGCAGAAATCCGGTGCCCCGAGCCCGTGCTCGCCAACCACCGCATCCTGACGGTGACCAACAACGACCGGCAGTACGGGCGCACGCTGATCCGCACGGCCGAGAACGCCGCCTCCTCGTCCACCACCACGTACAAGATCGGCGCCCTAGCCAAGTACCAGTGCGAGCGCGGCTACAAGGTGGTCGGCGAGACGCTGTCCACCTGCGAGGACAACGGCCAGTGGAGCGGGGAAGTCCCGCAGTGCATCTGTGAGTAGCGCGTCAGCAAGCGTCGGCGAGTTGGTTTGGCGCTTAACGGTGTGCTTGATGTCTGTCGTTGCCCTTGCCCCCAGTCGTGGACTGCGCCATGCCCCAGCCCACGGCGCACGGCCGCTTCACGCTGGCCTCCAACATGACGTACTACGGCGCGGCCGCCATCTACGAGTGCGACGAGAACTACGAGCTGGACGGCCACGCGCGCCGCCTGTGCATGGAGAACGGCACGTGGAGCTCCGACACGCCGGTGTGCAGGGGTGAGTCGAGTCGAGTGCAACTCTAAAAAAAATAATTCGAAAAGTAGCGTTTTTTTCATGTTTTAATATCAAAACTATTGTTTTTATTCCCCGCAGAAATCATGTGCCCCGAGCTACAGAACGAAAACGGAATCACGGTCCAAGTGTCGACGCGCAGCATCGGCGGGGTCGCCCACTACCAGTGCCCTCGCGGACAGTTCATGGAGGGCAACTCCACCAGGATCTGCCTGAAGCGGGGGCGGTGGAGCAGCAAAATCCCCAAATGCTCATGTGAGTTTTCTCAGTGCAATGGTTTATGAAAGGTAGGCAATACTTCTAATCTATTCTGTGTTGCATTTTAGGGGTCGATTGCAAGCACCCTGGCCCTATTGAAAATGGACGTGTCATCGTAATGAATGACACGACAACATACAACAGTGCTGTGGAGTACCATTGCATACCACACTTCGAGCGGGTGGGTCCGTATTTACGGAAGTGCATGGAGGATGGCCAGTGGTCTGGGGAAGAACCCACATGTCAATGTAAGTAGAAAGTCATGACCTTACACACACATGAATTCGTGTGTAGTAACCATTTAGACATTGTCAAGTTATCACAAATTATTTTATTTCAGTGAGTACTGGAGAAGCAAGTGAGGCTCAGAATCTGGGCTTACCAATTGGTATTGGAGCTGGTGTTCTTCTTTTCCTTCTCCTTGTCTTGGGCCTTATCTACCTCCGACTGTAAGTATAGCTACTTCAGATTATTTTAAATTCATTTTACTACTAATTTATTAATTTTTTTAAAAAAAATTTTAATTTCTCCAGTCGGAAAGAAAGACCCATTAAGAACACAGAGAATGTGCAAGCAGCACTCAGAAAAGAGGATCAAAATGCTGCAGTTATGTCCTTCTCGACCTTGAATGATGGCACCAATGGAGGTGTTACGCATCTTTCTACAAATATTTATGAAAACATACATGACCACACTGATAACATGTATGATGCCCCCTATGAAGAAACTGAAAGGAGAAATGGAAACCATCATTATGAGGCTTCCCCTGTCAGCAGGCCAGGCAATGGAGCTACCGTGACCATCAACGGAGTAGCTGTTCGTTGATAGGCCTCCTGAGCGACTAAGATAAGAAAATTGTGATTGATAAACAAGTTTCTAGTTGGGAGAAGTGAACCTATTTTCATCTTACTGATGCTGCAAAGAACCAAAATTCACTCTCCAGTGTCAGACAATGAAGAAATGATGGACTTCCAGTGAAGCATTTTTCTTTTTGTCAGGTTCTTTGTTGATTTTGCTAGTGCCAAGTGACTAAGTCACATAGATCAGAATTAGATGAGGCAAAGCTGCCATCAGGAACAAGCCACGAGGGTGCCAGATATTTAAAGGTTGCAAGGGCCAGGGCATTGGAATTGGATTTTAAATTAAATCTTTTATACTGTAATAGGTAGCACTGCTCTCTACCTATTTTAGCGAATTTTATCATTTCAGGCCAAGGTCTATCTTAAGATTTTAAAAATCGATTTGCCTTCTTGTGTTCAGAATTGTTTGGACTCTTTTTTTTTTTTTTTTTTTTTTTGTCTTTTGTGTAGTGAAGCCCAGTGAAATATCGAGTTTGCAACAGATAAGAATTAAATGTGATCTGTACTTCTGTGACATCTAATACTTCTCGCTGTAATTTATATTGTTTTAAAAATTTTGTTTATGACAGTGTAAGAGAGAGTTTTAGGCTTGAGAAATACCTCCTTAGTTGGCAATGAAAAGGCTATTCCAGACCACAGGGTGTTTCACAATCAAGTTACAAACATACGTAAATGGCTTTATTGCTCAACTTAAAATATTTTTGAAAGTTACTGTATTGTGTAAGAACTAAACCTGATGGTGGTAGTTTCCCACCATTTGTTTTTCTCATCAAATATGACTATGAAATGTTGTAAATTGTAAAGGGTTACAAGTAAAATTATTTATGTGTGTATATAATAGTAGTTTTATGTTTTAAGATGTGATGTTATGCCAATAGTTTGAGAATGTTGCAGAGTGGCCAGTTAGTAAGTGATAACTCAGTATCAAATTTTCTTGAACAGAACAGACAGACTGCAAGAAAAATTACTGTAAAAGTGGTTGGTGATGCTAGATTGTATTTCTGGTCACATGCCCCTGTAAATAGTTTAAGCTGATTTTAATGAGTGATGTAGTTGTAAAATGTTTGTTAAGTGTCCAGTCACAAACTACGTTCGTAGATCGCAATCGGCAAACAGTCCCTGAAACTGTGTGTCTCAAAGTTCAATCTGAAAATAAAATGAAATGTATATAAAACAAGTGTGTGTATGAATGAGTGTAAATGTGAATAAGATTGATTTCAGACTGATGTTAAAGAAATTTCTTGTGGAAGTTGTGTAAATATGTGATTCATGCCTGTTAAACATATCAATAGGGGAGAACATAAATAAAAATGAATTGTTCAAAATAGTACTGCATTGCTGACAGCCAATTAACATGAAGTCAGGTTTAAATTGATTTGTCAGTGATTGCTCATGTTTTTGAAGTATACAGCATATCTTTGTCCATCTTGGAGATCATAAACTAGTTACAGTTTTAAAACAATATTACTGTTCTTTTTTCATGTAGCGTTGACAGACATGTAACTGCGTGATAATTGAAATAAATAAGCTGATTCAACAGTGAACTATTTGAATTACTTTGTTGTCTTGCTGCAGAACAAAGGAAAACAGAATAAATTTCACTCACGAAGTTTAAAAGAATGGTTATGTATTTACCAAAATTACCAATATATAAAGCTCCACAGAATACATAAATTTTCACAGACCCAACAAAGCTGACACCTGGCAGAAAATTCTAACAGGTGGGATCTTACATTCAAACAAATGCTAGGCTCCTTCACTCTTGCGAACACCCATCAATACCCTTACACAGCAGACACCTTTTAGCAGTACAGGGCAGTGTAGTACAAGCTTCTTGCTTACCCAATACAATCACACAACACAAACATAAACTGACAATTTCATTAATAAACGCCAATTGGAACGTACACGATTACAACAGTCTCATCAGATCTTGTATGTAATTGGTAATATTAATAGTACTTAGATTGAGGGGAATAAACTCAAACACATAATAAAATGGAAAATAAAAGAAACATGGAAATAGTTGTTTTAAAACGAGATGACAAAATACAATGTGGAAACAAACAAATAAAAATGCAAGTCAAGGTAGAAATGGTCCCAATACAGAAAAACACAAAATTCATAATGTTACGAGTTAATATCAGCATCAACCAGATTGTGGATCTACAAATAAAAACCACTAGGTATACAAGAAAAACAATGAATAAATGCTAGATAAATTCTTGACGAAAATACTGATAAATAATTAGAATTCCCCATTTTAAGATATTCTTTAAGGGAGATACACCCACCATTTCAATGTTAGGCCAAGTGGCCAGATAGAAGCTGAAGAAGATGTGAATTATCACAAAGGCACATGACGAAAGATAGAAAAAGAATATTACTGCTCATCCTTGTCCTTAGCTCCATGTTTGAGAATCCTAGTGAATTCAATGTAATCAAACATTCCATTCTTGATAGGTGCTTCACGGTACATTTCATCCACCTAGAAAAAAATTATTTATTTTAAAAATTTATCTTGGAAAATTTACAACACAACTTAAACATAGCATAAGATAAGATACTTACATCTTCGTCTGAAAAACGATCACCCATGCTGATGAGGAGCTCACGAAGTCGCTCTTCATGGATAACACCCTGGTTTTCCTCATCAAAGCAGCCAAAAGCATTCTTGATGACGTCTTCTGGGTCAGTGCCTTGGAGACGCTCTCCGAAGAGGGTCAGGAACATGGTGAAGTTGATTGGTCCAGGAGCCTCATTCATCATACCTTCCAGGTACTCATCAGTGGGATTTTTACCTACAATGACAGGAATTTGTGAAAAGATTTCTCCATCGCAAACATTTTTAACAATTTAAGTGGAAAGTAGACTTACCAAGAGAGGCCAGCATGTCGTGAAGATCTTCCTTATCGACAAATCCGTCCCTGTTTTGATCAATCATATTGAAAGCTTCCTTGAACTCCTGGATTTGTGCCTGATCAAACATGGCGAAGACATTTGATGTCGCACGCTGAGCGCGCTTCTTGGTGGTGGCACGGCGGCCTGCAGCCTTCCTGGACGACATCTTTGGTTTGTTTGGAGAAAACCTGAAACAGAACCAAGTATGGCATAAGACGCATTCTAAGCACACAGAAGGTGTAGATGCTGCTATGGAGGGCAGATGTCATTGGCCTAGACAGACATAACCTAAGCACACAAATACGAAGGACGTTCAGATCGAGACACATGAGCGCCTGGCACAAGCTAGATATTTAACCGTAAATAATAATTATTTTGTACTCAAGAAGAAGAGCGAAAACTCTGTTTCATGAGAAAAATGGCAACAGTCAGAAATGATGTGTCACAACAGCACACTGCAGAACACACCCATCGCAGCTGGACTGCGTGGAATTTAAGCCAAATAATTGGTCTCAGATGATTCTGCTATTTCAAAAGAAGGGGGCGGAATATTTGGTAATATTAATACCGTAGCATAAAAAGAATGCTTTCAAGGAAACAAAGAAAGAAACATCTGCTGCATGGACAAGACACAAATCTATGAATATACTCTGAAACCTCTGACAACTCACTCGCAACGGTTACTCCGACGCCAATAACCTAACCACCGCGATTATTTCGCAAAAGTAACTGTAAGCTAAACCCGCCCAAATACAGTTCAAACCCACCTGACACACAGCAAAACGCTCCCAACGGAGATACCTGCCGAATGATTCACAACCACAAACAAACGCGCAACCACACCCCACCAGCAGCGCGCTCTGGCGGCCGTCCCGAGAAGTAGGTCAGCAGCGGGCAGGCGCCAGATGCGGGGGAATCACCAAATGAAGCGAATTTCGAGCCACTTGGCGTCCTGGCGGCACGATAGGGGATGTTCGGCCGGAGAGAGCCGCTCGCCCCACTGGAAAAGTGCCGCAAATGTGGAGACTGGGGGCGGGGCGCGCACGGCGGAGGGGGCGGGGTCGGGGGCACTGTCTGGGTCGGACACCGCGGCAGCGCGGCGCTCTCGCCATAAAAGGCGAAGCACGCCGCCGCCGCGCCGCCCGATATGGTCGCTTTTCGCATTTCTCCCGCCAACGTGACGTCACGCCGCGACGCCCCGACCTTCTGGAGAATTGGGGGAAACCGGGAACTATCAGTGGCGGATGAATGGGAACCAACAGTGTATGTGCGAGAGAGACAGAGCGACGAAAACGACTCTCAGAATCAGTCTGCTATGGGTTGATTGTGGCCACCTCTTGCCCAAGCGCCAGTGGATGTGAGTGGGCTGGTCACGGCGGTTGAGCGCGGTGTGGTTCGCGGTGGAGTCCGCGCGGGGCACCTTGCGGGGCACGGTGGAGTCGGATCCCTCGGGCCGCCGTTCGCACACCAGCCGTCTGATTCCGAACACTGCTTCGTCGCTCTGTCTCTCTCGCACCCCTACGGACCGCCCCATGAGTGCGAGAGAGACAGAGCGACGAAAGCAGTGCTCGGAATCAGACGGCAGTGTAGCGGACGGGCCACTAGAGGCCGTCGACTACGCTGCAGCTTGCAGCACAGTTTAGACGGGCCAAGCCGGAAAACCCACACGTCAGGCCGGGGCAGGGCGGCCAGGGTGGTCGGGGCTTTCATCCCCGTCGAGGCCATACACCCCGAGGGCCCGCTGCGCTGCTGCGCGCTCCGCACGACAAGGGAAACTACCAAGTACAATATCGGTGTACCTAAGTGAGCTAGAACAAGGGCCTGGCGGCCTGGCCCGGCCATGCCCGAAGTGGAGACGAAAGAAGCATGGCCGAGGACGGAAAGAAAGGCACGAGGAGGAAAGGAGGGGGCTGAGGCTGGTTAGGTTACCATAGCAACCGCTGTGAACTCAATATCCCTCGACATGCAACCAATTGGGAGTTAAACCCCCTCAGGGCACAACTCCACAGCAACCTCGGAAAGAGAGGGGAGGTGCCCCCGGGGCGCGGGGCGTGGCGGGGCGCGGCGGGGCGCGGCGGGCCCCGAGATGGCGGAATGGGAGTGTGGGGCCCAGGGTAGCTTAGGGTGGCCCAGGGGCACAGCGGGTTCTCTATGCTCTATGCCAGCCCCACGGCCCCGTGCCCGTGGCGTACCGCAGTAAAAAAGTGACACATTTTATAGGAAATCAGCGACGGGATGTGCGAAGCTCATCCTCGGTGTTTCCCCTGCTTCCGGTCCAAGGAACCCAGCGGGATGCACTCTTTCCAACGTGCAGTTCGAGTACGCCCGGTGCCGTGATTCGCCTCCCTGCTCCTTGAATCGGTTTCATTTGGTGCGGTCCGGCGAGGGCGAGGGGTGGAGAGTGGTGAGAGAGAGGGCAGGTGGATGGACAGAGAGGCGGAGAGGGTTGGCGCTGCGCTGCGCGCAATGCGGCTGGCGGTTGGGCGCGGCGCGGGGCCAGGACTGACTGACAGGACGCGTAGCGCGCGTTCCCCGCGCTCTTGTTGCTGCTGCTGTGTTTGCGTGCTTTTCGCTGACGGCTTCTTGACGTTTGGCTGACGTGGAGCGCGGGGCGTGTATGGCGTGGCTGGTCCGCGCACTCCTGTCTCGCTGCTCCGAAACGAGACGTTAGCTCCCCGTCGACGCCCCGCCCCAACGGCGAACTGCGCGCGGGGTGGCTTCGCGTGCTGCGCGCACCGCGGGGAACATACAAACTACTCCGAGGGCGCCAGGCGCCGCGCGTAGGAACGCCCAGAGGCACTGCAGCCAACGCACCGCAGTACGTTGGGTTGCCTATCCTCTCGTCCGCGGGCGCCCTTGCTGTCCGTAGCCGCGCCGGACCCTCCACCTCCTCCACCACGGCCACGCAGTGCACTCCGAGTGAGGAGGCACGGCACTCGCACCGCAGCCGAAAACAACAGGCAATAGGGTTTTCGTCGCAGTAGTTGGGGCCTTTGCTTCGGGCAGGTCGTACACTGTATATCGGCGCAGCCACACACGGCACAACAAGGGCTGCTGGCTCATTTCCGGACGGCGCCCCGCCGCTCTGTCTTCCTCGCACTCGCGGCACGGACCATTTGCACCATTTGGGTGCGAGAGAGATCGGCTCGGCATCAGCCGGCAGCGAACGCAGCGCCACGGCGACTTACCGCCGCGATCAGCCGCGACACGGCCAGACACGGCCAGACACGGCCCGCCTCATGTTCCGTCGTATGTTCCGTCGAATGTTCCGCTCAGTGTTCTTGGGTCCGCCACTCCTCCCTCCCTCTTCCCTTCCTGGGGCAACCCCCGGGCAGAGCCGCACCGCCGACACGGCGGCGAGGGGGGCCCGCGAGGGGGGAGTCCCCGAAGAAAAAGGGAGCCCTACCCCCTACCCTACCCGCGGGGGGACCTCCCCAAGACCTCCCCGCCGCCGAGCCCTGAGCAGCCTGCGGGTAGCGGGCGAGGCCTGCGGGGGAGGCCGACGAGTGGCGCCGAGGCCGTGCCGTGCCGCGCCGTGCCGTGCCGCGCCGTGGCGGAGCACGGAGAAAATTCCGCGGGGTAAACAGCCTGGGGCCCAAGGATTAATAAGCACGCATTGCCCGGGGGCAGCGGGGGCGACGGGAAGGGGGCGGGGCGGGGCGGGGGCAATTGCACGGGGAGGACGCGGGGAGGCAGGGGGACGGGGAGGCACTTTACCCGCTCTCCAACTTGTGATGAGACCTTGGCAGGATCTTTGGGTTGCTCTCAAAAGGGAACCGGACCCACAGCCGGCCTGCTCCAGGCTCCAGGCTCCAGGCACCAGGGGGTGGGGGTATCGCAATCTTGAAAATTTCGCTCAGAGGCACACTTTGTCCCCAGCTTAATTAGGGTATGCGAACGACAGGGGCACGCCAGTGTGTTTTTCAGTGTTTGACTCCCCCGGAAGCCGGGTTGCGTGAGTGTGTGCTCACTGTGCTGTGTGTTGGTGGGTGTGGGCGCGCGTGGGCTGCGGAGTGCGGGTGGAGGTGGGCGTGTGGGCGAACACGGCGAGGCTTGGGAAGCGTGGAAGACATCGACACGGGGTAGTACTACCCATTGAACTACGACGGGGTGCCAGCAGTGTTGGAGAGTCGTGCCGCGGACTCGCGGGGGTGGTCGTGGTGCCGCTCCGTCGCTCGGTCGCTCTCGGCGCGCAGAGGCGGCGGTCGCTTCTCCCCGGATTGTGTTTGCTCTGCAGGAAAGTCGCTGAAATGCTTTCCGAATGAGCAAACAGCTAATCTCCAGGGCCTTCTCTCCGAGCGCCTCCCGCTCACCCTCCTGCTGCAGCCGTGGCCATGCAATAGTCCCCGCCAGTCCCTGCAACAATCTGCCCGGACTCGGCATGACTTGGCCAGGACTTGGCGCCAGAGCTTTACTTCGGCAGCGCGCGTCTCCGGACGATGTACACCCCCGCGTCTCAAAAGCGGGTGCGCGAGGTGCAGACTGCGGTCGGGCGGCGGGCGGCGCTGCGCGGAGTCACTTGAGATACCCTGCCTCCGCCCTCCCCCACCTCCCCCTGCCCGGCGGACCGCCGCTAGGGGAAGGCTGGAAAGTTAATGCCATAAAACTTTGAACAGCCGCCAAGCATCGGTTGTCAGGGCGCCGTAAGGAGAGCTGCTTTCATGCCGCCAAGCGCGCCAGGACGCCGGCAGCGCGCCCGAGCACGCCCGGCACGCCGTCAGCGTGGCGACCGGTTCAACGGCAACCCTTATCCTCTCAAAGGCTGAAAAGAATAGCTCATAAGTAAATCAGGGACCACCAACTCCGCACTTCGAACAGTGCTTCGTCGCTCTGTCGTCTCTCTCGCGCCCTTTCGGGAGTCAGTGCGAGGTGTGGTGTGGGTGGAGTGGGTGCGCGGACGCGGCAACACCAGGCAACGCCATCGCACGGCTGATTTGCGTCTGAACCAGTCTGAACAAGCGAAGCGAATGTCGCTGGTCGTGGTCGCTGGTCGGTCGAGTGTCGCGAGTGGGAAGCAGCGAGAGAAGCGACCGGTGCTCTGGCTCGGTGGTGCCGCCAGAGCTCCCGGCGGCGGCCGGCCGAACCTCGGGCCAGCGCGCCACGCCGCAGCGCGCGAGGCGGCGAGGCTGCTCGCTTCCCTCTCCCTTGCCGCATCCAGTCGGGTCGCGGACGCCGAAAGCAACACACCGTGAGCGCGCGCCGAGCTCGTCATCCCCAGCATCTTCTCGACGACCGCATCGCGCTGCTTGGCGCCGGCGAGGTGTCACGCGTGCGTGTGCGTGCGTGTGTGTGTGTGTGCGTGTGTGCGTGTGCTGCCCCGCGTGCCCGCCCCGTGACAGTGCTGTCTGCGGACTCCACGAGGACCTCCAGGGCCGCCAGGACGGTCGTGGACTTCCCCGGCGTGGACTTCCCCGGCGTGGACTACCTCCTGTGGCCGCGCGACGCGCAAGCCGCCAACATTTTCCCCCACGACACCCTTCGCTCCCCGACTGCCACCGTGGACAACCGGGCGGCATTGGTCGGGCTGGAGTCTCCATGCGGCAAGAGGTGAGTTGAGAAGCCCCGGGTTCGAGTACTTCTACCGGCACCGGCCTGGCCTCATGTTTTTCGCGCCCCGGTGGAGCTCTTCTGGGACTGTCCCGCGCCTTCTTGAGCTTAATAGTGCGTCGGTGGCGCCGTCACACGTACCGCCCTGCAGGCCAAACCCTGGCCGCCCTGCAGAAGGCGGCAGAATATGTCTGGAGACTTTTGGGGTGCATCGCGCCACTGCGACAGCGGGGCCACGGCGGGGCCACCCACGACCGCACTCGGCAGGGAGACAGGGACAAGGCAATCAGCTGACACCGCTGCTCGGCGGCGCCCTCACCGGACCGGCGCGGCGAGGCGCGGCAAGGCGCGAGCACGCCGTCGTAATCGAGTGTAATCGGCTTGCCGGCAGCCCGCGCGCGTCCGGCGCCGGCCGCAGCGTCCTGCGCGCTCATTCGCTGTCTCCCTCGCACCTCTTTCGCAGCGGCCCACGTGTGCGAGAGGGACAGAGCGACGACGGCGGCGACGGCAGTCCGCAAAAGTGTTCTGCGCGGTCACACAGGGGCCTAATGAGGATTTATGGCCTTAATAAGCGTGGCTGATGGGCGTTCCGCCGTGTGTGCGTGTGTGTGTGTGTCCGTCTGTCTGCCTGTCTTTATAGCCCTGGCGGATGGGCCCGGACGGCGCCTTCTCGGCCACTCTCCGCCCCGCCCCACACTGTATGTGTCCCTTCTCGTCGCGGGCCCCAATTCCACCTTCCACGCCAGGCCAGTGCCGGAAACGGGTGCCGCGCCCAGCGCGCCCAGCCCAGCCCAGCACTGCTGCAGAGCGAGAGGAAAAGGAGGAACTGCCGGCCATGCCGTCGTGGCCATGCACGGCTACAGCCCCGCCGCGGGGTTTTGAACCCACGGACGACAGATAAACTTGTCTCTGCCGGTGGCGGCCTGGCGGCCTGGCGGTGGCGCGCACTGTTAGTGTTGTACGTGTGCTGGCGAGGCGAGGCGAGGCGAGGCAATGCGATATCCCACGCACGCCGCGCTGCCAGGCTGCCAGGCTGCCGCGCTCAGACGGTCTGAAGGGAGGGGAGGGGGAGCAGCGCGCGGATGCCCCGCGGCCGTTGTGTGGGGCGCTCGGCGCGGCTGCAGCCCGCGGCACCCCCGACTACGCCCCGCCACGCCCCGCCGCAGTGCTAGACTCGCCCGGTCTCGCCGTGCCGTGCCGTGGCGTGCCGTGGCGCGGTGCTCGAAGCGTTCGTTAGGTTATATTTCGCAACCAGACAGGCGAGGCGCGGCGCGGCGAAGCCCCCGAGCCCCAGCGCGGCAGAGCCCGGCGTAGAGCCCAGACAGAGCCCCCGCGGAGGCAGAACCTGCTGCTCTGCGGCGTGGGGCGTGGGGGCCACCCCGGGCCGCGGTGACGCGGAGACGTCCACCGCCTGACCTTTCGGGCCGTACGTCCGTTCGGCCATCCGCGACGAACTGAACTGCAGACTGCGGTCCAAACTCTGTGGCGAGGGAAAGCGATGCTGTTTGCTGCTGGTACGGCCGAGGAGGCCGACGCTGCCTGCCTCCCACGCGCGAGCCGAACCATCTGCAGCGTCCGGCGGGCTCGGCGTTCGAGGGGCGTGAGAGAAGCGCCAGGCGTGTTTCGTCGCCGTCTCTCTCGCCACGGCGCGCCCCGCGAGTGCGAGAGAGACGACCTAACCGCTGCTGGGAGCCGAGTCTTGGCCGCCCCAGCGCGCCGCGCCGGACGGCGGCCAGGTGCTGTCTGTCGCGTCGGGGACGTCGGGGACGTCGGGGACCACGTGGACCGTGGCGGGGCCGCGCTGGCCGCGCTGGGCGAGGCGGCATGCTGCCAGGCCGTGCGAAAGGCGCAACCTGTTGCCACCCGCCCTTCCGCCCTTCCGCGCACGCCGCCTAGTCTGGAGTCTGGAGCCCACCTGGACGCCGCTGGAGCGGAGCACAGCGGAGCGAAGTTGCCATGCTACCCATTATCACTGCAGGCCCTGCTGGGCCCGGCCGTGGCTCGGCCGACATCCTCGGGGCCTTGGAGCGCTGTCAGAACCGAGCAGGTGTCCTGGAGGCTGGGGCCTCGCTGCCTCGCCGGAGAGCTCGCTGGAGAGCGGCTGTGCAGCCCTCCCCGTCGGCCAGCTAGGCCAGCCAGCCAGGCCCTGCGCCCGCGGCGCTTTCGGCTTTGGTTGGTACAGCCGGCCGCGCTGCCCTGGCCGCCCTGGCGCGCTGCTGCCGATAGTCTAGTGCGCACGCATAAAAGTCTCACCCTGCCTCCCTCGCACCCCGACGGAGCGTCCCATGCGTGCGACAGAGACACAGAGCGACCCTTCGGAGTCGGTCTGCTGCGGGAGGCCGAGGGCGAGGGCGGCCTGGGGGCGGCCTGGGGGCGTGGCAGCGTGCCCCGGGGGCCTCGGCGTCATAATCACGCAGCCCGGGGCGGCGCGGGCGGCGCGCTACCTTGTCGCTCTGTCTCTCTTGCTCTCACAGGGCACCAGGGCGTCACGGTGCGGTGGGTGCGGTCGTGCGGGAAAGACATCCCGCCCACAACATGGCGCTCTATCAGACGGCCGTCAGGCCGTCAATGACGGTGCGAGCGGCCGCTGTTTCTGCCCTGTCTGCGTGTGTGTGAGTGTGATGCCTCCATCGGGAAATACGTCTATTCCGGAACACAGGCGGGGCGTATCGGAGCGCCAGGCAGGAAGGTGCGCGCCGAGCGGCGCCGAGCTGCAGGGGGCAAAATTGGCGCTTCACGAGCAGGCCACACATGCACGCACACACACATACACGCTCGACTCGGCCGCTGATTGGCAGACAGTGAGCTTAGAGCTCCCTGCGTTTGGAGGTTTGCGGCGGCGGGGGCGGCGGGGCGGGCCCGCCAGTGTAGGACCAATGCTGAGTAAACTCATTACATTGCGAGTGGCGTGCCGGGCCGTGCCGGCCTGGTCGGACTGGTCGGTCGGCGCGGTCCTATGTGCACCCCGGCTGCTCCCCCGCCCCCCGGTCGCTCGCAAACGCGCGCCTGTGTGAGTGTGCGTGTGTGTGCGCGCGCGCTCTCGCGTACAATGATGGCAAACTCAACTCCGCCGGTCGGTCTCTGGCCAGACCTCACCTGGATGGATGGACGTGGCGGGGCGGCAGTTCAGGGGGAGTTTGGGTTCGGACGCACAAAGTGTGTGTGTGTGCGTGTATGTGTGTGTGTGCGTGTATGTGTGTGTGTGGGCTGTAAGTGATAGGGAGCGCCTCTCGTTGGCCGTTCGCTCCATTGGCACTATTGTGCGTGGCTGCCGTGGCTGCTTCGTTTGTTCTGTCGAGGCGTAACAGCCTCGTTGATCCAGGCCGCGCCCCGCCGGGCCGCGCCGCCTCTGTTTGGCAAATGGGAAGCAAATAGAAGGCCGTGACGGCTGCCTGTGCCCCGGCTCTGCCTCGACCCTGCCCCGGCTCTGCCCCGGCCCTGCCTCGCTGCCTCGGACGTCCGCTTCGCTTTTGTGCCCCTCCGCTCGGCCATCCGCATTCATCGCTCCGCAGGCCGCGGCCGCGCCCGCCGCGCCCATCCAGGCCGTCATCGAGGCCGTCATCCTTGCCCGCCTCATCCGCCGCTCCGCCGCTCCGCCGCTCCGCCGCTCCGCCGTGCAGCAGAGTCAACAGGAACGCGCAAGCCAATTCCGTTTTGGATATTGGCCTCGGGTACACATGCAGCCTGCACCGTAAATCGCATCGCCCGAGGCGCCGTGCTCTGATCAGTCCGCCAGGCCCGACAGGCCATCTCGCCGATGACGGCCAGGTGCTGGTTGGGTTTGACGGCAAGGTCGCCCCGAAAGTTGGCGGAAAAAATGTCACCTCTAAAACAGACAAAATTTTGGTGGCTGTGTGGACTGACCTGCTGCTCCAGCGAGTAGGGTAAAGTGCCGAACATGGATCGGGGTACCAAACATGGATCATTTCTGTTTGGGGGTCTATAACTAAAGACCAGGTGACCAGATCCTAAATTTCTGTCTTTCCTTGCTTAGACTGACCCTTTGACTGTTCGATGTGAAGCTGACAAGTTTGTAACTGCGTCTCTCTACTCTGCAGGGTTGCGTTTAGAAAGACACCTAAAACAGGCCCCCGAAAATCGATGGAAAAATGACGTTCAAAAAGGTGATTTTTGCACCCCTGATTCTGGGCCAAGCAATCACCGCAGTCACTTCAAAATTTTTCATCGTGCACTTTGGACAGACTAGTTTGATATTCTGGGACTACTGAATGCATACCTTGCTTTGTGTCCGTACGCTGGTGGGGTGATCCATGATTGGACCACCCTAACCTAACCTTAGCAAAAATAGCCATATTTTCTTGTCCTCACAACTTCCAAAGTATTTGAGTTAGAGGTACCATTTTTGGTAGCAATATGACCAGTAAGGTAAACATCTATATTAGATTCAAAAATAGTAGTCAACCCATACTTAATTTCGATCTAGAGAAGATTATTTAAAAAGTGATCCATGTTTGGTAACCTTACCCTATCCCCAGGAACACTCGTGTGAGACAAACACGGTGATGGCGCGCCTTTGAAAAATTGCTTAAAAGTCTGCTGGACGTTTTAATGCCAGTGTAGCCGAGTGCACTAAAGGGCGCCCATAATAACCAGCCGGGTCATGTCGTGTAGGGCCGAGGCGGCCGAGACGACACCGGCCGTCATTACAACTCGTTGTCCTGCTCGCTCGTAATCATTTGGTTAGGGAGGCGACATGCTTTCCAGAAACATTCCCCACGCGACGTGTAATGAGACGAAGGGGGCTACTATGAGGCGCGCATTCCCGGAAACAGCATCACGCACCGCGATGACGACATGGGGGTGCTGCCGTGCTGCCCCGCGACGTGCGTCAGACACGCGGAGCAACGGGACACGCCCCGGAACAAGGGCAAGACATCGCGGCCAATTCCGCGCCGCAGCGTCGTCTTAGTTTGAGGCTGCCAGGGGAGAGAGGGCCCAAAATTAGTTGACATTTTGAATTTTGTTGAAAGTTGACTTCT